ATGTCGAGTTTTCCTCCATATATACGAAATACCTCTTCGTGTATTTAGGTATTCTTTGATGACGTTCAATAAAGTTTTGTAATTTTTTCCTCAAAGATTTCATACATCTTCGGTTTTATTTCAAGAAACCTCTTATTTTGTTTCAGCAATTGCTCTTGAACTTGGTTAACAACCTTCTTCTGAAAATAGATCCCATTGTCTTCTTTCTCGCTTGTACTTTTTTTCTTTAACTTTTTATTTTGAAATAATTTCAAACTGACAGAAGAGTTGCACAAATAATACCCAGAATCCCCATTTACCCTTTACCCAGATTCAGCAGTGAGCAAATATGAACATTTTGCTACATATGCTTTCCCTCTCTTTCTCCGTGTGTGTACGTGTGTGTGTGTTGTGTGTACAGTGAAAACTGTGAGAGCTGGAACTTGACGGGACTGCCTTGTTTTTCCGTGTCTCACAGGTTTTCCACTTTTGATAGAGTGCGGTCTTACCACTTTTGTATCGCTCGTTTTAGTGGAATATATTTGAGTTTTCCTACTCTGACAGGCTTCTGCCTTATACACATCCCTGCCTTAGCAAGCTTTACTGTGTATATACACCGTATATAGGAAACCCTGGTAGCGTAGTGGTTAAGTGCTAACAAAAAGGTCGGTAGTACGAATCCACCAGGCCCTCCTTGGAACCTCTGTGGGGCAGTTTTACCCAGTCCTATAGGGTCTCTGTGGTCGAAATTGACTCAATGGCAACAGGTTTTGTCTTGTTTTCATTGTACTGTAGATGAAGGTTTACAGAACAAACTACCTTCTCATTGAACACTTTACACATATTGCTTTATGACATTGGTTAACAACCCCATGACATGTCAATACTACTCTCCCTTCTCGACCTTGGGTTCTCTATTACCAGCTTTCCTGTCCCCTCCTGCCTTCTAGTCCTTGCCCTGGGGCTGGTGTGCCCTTTTAGTCTCGTTTTGTCCTATGGGCCTGTCTAATCTTTGGCTAAAAGGTGAACCTCAGGAGTGACTTCATTACTGAGCTAAAAGCGTGTCCGGGGGCCATACTCTCAAGGTTTCTCCAGTCTCTGTCAGGCCAGTAAGTCTGGTCTTTTTTTGAGTTAGAATTTTGTTCTGCATTTTTCTCCAGCTCCATCAAGGACCCTCTACTGTGGTCCCAAGGTTTTGATTTTTTTTTTTACACACCATATGTACATACACATCGTGTATCTATAAATGGCTATAGAAGAATTGATGCATTAGAACTGTGGTGCTGGCAAAGAATATTGAACATACCGTGGACTGCAAGAAGAATGAACAAATACGTTCATTTTAGAAGAAATACAACCAGAATGTTCCTTAGAAGCAAGGATGGTGAGACTTTACCTCGCTTACTTTGGACACATCATCAGGAAAGACCAATCACTAGAAAAGGAGATCGTAATTGGTAAAGGATCAGCAAAAATGAGGGAAACCTTCAATGAGATGAGTGAATACAATAGCCACAACAATGGACTCAAACATACTGACAATCATGAAGATGGCACAGCACCCAGCAACATTTCCTTCTGTTATACATGGGGTCGCCATGAGCAGAAGCCATCTCGACGGCAACTGACAACAACATGTGTGTGTATATACATATTTATATTTTTATATATGATATGTGTATATCTCTCTATACTTATATATGTGTATATATACAGCCACATTTTTTTCTAAACCATTGGCATCATGTCCCTTTACCCCTTCGGCATGTATTTCCTGAGAACACAGAAGTTTTCTTACTTAATCATGGTGTAATTTCCAAATTCAGGAAATTAAAGTTGATATGATATTATTATCTAATATACAGTCCATATTCAAATCTCACAATTATCTCTATGATGTCCTTTATGCAAGTCACCCTCCCCATTCCAGGATCCCATTCAGGATCCAGCCTTGTATTTAGTTGTCATGTGATTCATGTCACTTCCAAAAAAAAAACCACTTGCTGTCAAGTCGATTCCAACTCATGGCGGAGTAGAACCGTGCTCCATAGGTTTTCAGTGGCTGATTTTTTGGAAGTAGATCACCAGGCCTTTCTTCTGAGGTGCCTCTGGATGGACTCAAACCACCAACTTTTCGGTTAGCAGCCAAGGGCATTGACTGTTTGCACCACCCAAGGACTCCCATGTCTCTTCAGTCTCCTTTAATCTGGTGTTTTCCAGCCTTTCTCTTTCTTTCATTACACTGAAGCTTTTAGAGAGCAGAGGTCAGATGTTTTGTAGAATGTCCCTTAACAGGTTTGACTGATATTTCCTCATGATTAGATTCAGGTTGTGAATTTTTGGCAGGAGTCCCACAGACGTGATTTGGGCTCCTTCCCATTGCTTCCCATCAGGAGGCTGAAAATGTCAGCTTATTCCGTTAACGGTTATGTTAACTTTGTCACCTTGGCTAAAGTGGTGTCTGCTAGATTTATCCACTCTAAAGTAGCCATTGATTCCTTTGTAATTAATAAATAATCTGTGAGGAGATTCTTTGAGACAGTGTAAATGTGCTGTTCTTATTCAAACTTTCATCAAGAAATTTTTTTTCTTGTACTTTAAGTGAAAGTTTACAATTCAAGTTAGTTTCTCATACAAAAATTTATGCATGCATTGTTATGTGACCCTAATTGCTCTCCCTATACTGTGACAGCACACTCTTCCTTTCCACCCTGGACTTCCCGACTCCATTCAACCAGCTCCTGACCCTCTCTGCCTTCTCATCTCACCTCTGGACAGGAGCTGCCCATTTAGTCTCATGTATCTATTTGAGCTAAGAAGCACCTCTTCACAAGGATCATTTTATGTCCCATAGTCCAGTCTGATCTTTGTCTGAAGAGTTGGCCTCAGGAATGGTTTTGGTTCTCATCAAATAATTTTTAACATCCACTAATAATTCTTGCCTAAATCTATTACTACCATGATGATTGAAAAAAAAAATTTTTTCTAACTCCATCATTCCTTCTATGATTATTAGCCAGCATTCTACTGTGCAGAAGGGTTTCCTTTTTTTCCCATTTATGTGTGTATTTGTGTGTATATATGTCTTTATTATCAGCATGGATGCTCAGGGATTCTTATTCAACGTGTAGTCCATTATGTCATCATTCATTTTATACATGCACAAATGTCCCCAGTTTGGCCAGTAGGATTTCCCCCTCCCTTCAAGTTGGTTTGAGATGTCCCCATCACTTTCTGAGCATTTTTTTGCCATAACAAGATATTCCAGGTTCACTTGGTACTTTTCCTGGCCCTGGAACCAGCCATTTCTCTAAGGAACCCTAGATTCTGTTTTTAGAGGGTGATGTTTTTTAGAAACCAGTATCTGGACTCTAAGGAATTTTAAGGAAAATGTTCTGGACTAGTGGCCATGTGTTTGTGGTTGGTGCATTCTGGCCACTAGGGGGCAGTGCTTCACCCCAAAATGCAAAAGACCCTAGAATCTGGGCTGGGGTTGGGGTGAGGTTGGGTGATAGGGGGTCTCCAGGAGGCATGTCCTCTTTCCGGAAAAGGGAAACAGACGTCCCTCCACATGCTCACCTCCACCCCATGTGCTACAGCCTCTCCCTCATCCTTACGGAGTCTCACCTCCTCATACATGCTCACCCCTTGGAATCACTCACACCCACCCTCACTGATGTCTTCATATCTTCTTTTTCTGAAGCCCTCTAAGGGATTAGCTCCATGGCAGGGAGGAAAAGGAGACAGATATGAGACTTCAGGGAGGCCCTGCTCTCTGGTCCCCAGCTCACCCCACCCTAATTCCAGAACAACCAGCAGACACACAGCTGAAGGTAACAAGTGTGTAGATGCCCCTCCCCCAGCGGGCCCCACTCCTAGGACACAGTGTCCCCAGCTGACTTTCCCAGTGCCACAGCTTCAGCTGGCTCCCTCCTTCTGGGCCTGTCAGGCAGGAAGCCCAGAGGGAAGGGTTTCCTCAGGAATAAGCCATTGGGGTGGGCTTGGAGCCTGAGCTTCCACCTGGCTCTCTGTGCAGATCAGGTCAAAGGAAAGGAGCTAAAGGAGCTTCACCCAGGCCCGGCACACAGTGGCCGCCAGTAAACTCTGAGTCTGTCTGTCCTCCACCACCTCCCATCAGGACTAGGGCAGCAGCCTCCTGACTCTTGTCTCCAGTCTCCCCGCTTCCTAGCCAGAGCTGACCAGATCATTCACCTACTTCAACATCTTTCCATGGCCTCCCTAGCCCAAAAGGCAAAGTCCAGCATCTCAGCCTGGAACCTTCCTGATCCTTCCTGCCCACCTCCCCAGCCTCCTAAATTGCCACCTGATCTCCTACCCACCAAGACCTGATGCTTCGGCAATTCTGAGCTCCTGGGTGCCCCCCTACCCCCAGACGGACCAGTGATTTCCCCTTTCTACACCTCCGTTCACACAGCTGCCTCTGTCTGAACCCACCTCCCCTCTACTCATAAAATTCCTCTTTCCTGTTAATTGATGACACCTCCTGTTCTCCCCCTTGGAATGTGCTCCCTTCCATCTCTGATCAAATTCTTCCCACCCTTCAATCAAGGCCTTTCTCTTGGTCGGTCCCATGGACCCAATGACAGCTCTTGGCTCCCTACTGGGCTGTGAGGCTGTGAGCTTCCTGAGAGCAGGGCCAGCAAATGGCTGGATGTGTGGGGTGGCATAGAGAAGGAGTTAGAACTCATGGCTGACCAGGCTGCCAGCTCAGCGCTTCTCCAACTTCAGTGTGAATACAAATCACTTGGAGATGACTAGAACCCAGATTCTGATGGCAGTAGGCTGGGTGGGGGCTCAGATGCTGCGTTTCTAATAAGCTCGCAGGTGAGACCCATTCTGCTAGACCAGGGACCACTTTGAGTAGCAAGGGCCTAGCCCACTGGATTGGCTGGGGAAGAGAGGCAGGTGGGAGCCCAGGTGTGAGTGGGACATCATTCTGGGGATATAAGATGGCTAGGTGGTGCTAGTCTACACTCTGCTGGTGTGGCTGTGTAGGTACCATGGGGCTGAGCTACAGGCTCTTCATCTGCTTTCTGCTCTGGGGAAGCACAGAGCTGTGCTACCCCCACCCCCTCTGGCTCCTTCAGGGTGGAGCCCGTGGCCCTGTGTCATCCCCACAACCTGTGCTGGTGGAGTGTCTGGAGGCCCAGCTGGTGGTCACTGTCAGCAAAAACCTCTTTGGCACTGGGAAGCTTGTCAGGCCTTCGGACCTCACCCTGGGCCCTGAGCACTGTGAGCCCCTAGCCTCTGAGGACACTGCCGACATGATCAGGTTTGAGGTTGGGCTGCACGAGTGTGGCAACCACGTGCAGGTGAGCCTTGGGGCCCCCTCCTCGGGCCTGGCTTGGGTGGGAGTCATGGGAGGTGGAGGTGACAGTGATGGAGTGTGAGATACAGTCGGGAAGATGGGACTAGAGCAGGTCCCTCTCACTTGTGGGTGGAGAAGGTGGAGCAGCTGAGGCCTGAACCTGGGGATGGGGGCAGGAGGCCTCTCACTGCCTGAATCTGGGAGGTGGGGTGGGGTCCAGAGGTAGCAGTGTACTCTGGGCCAGAAGGAGCACCCCTATCCTGATTCCTCCTGAGGATTTATGGACCCCCTGGAGGGAATCCAGGAGAGAAAAGCCTACAGGGAGGTGTGTGTGGGTATGTATGTGAGATAAGACATCAGGAACTTGGTTGGGGCACTAGACACTTGCATGGAAGAGAGACTTTTGACACTTCAGAAAGCCCAGAAATAATCATTGTAGAAAAACAGATCTTTGACCTGCCTTCTCCTCACTCATGTTTAATGGCTTGGCCACCCTGAATTGGGTAAGAGGGGGAAGGCTGCATGGTCACCTCTGTGCTGAAGAACCTCAAAAACCTTAATCCAGTCCTGAAGGTAGTTCCCAGTGGAAGGGGCTCAGGGTGGGAGGCAGGTGTTGGAAGAGAGCTCATATAAGGAGACTCATGGGCAGATCCTCCCCCAGAGCGATGGGAAACAGAGGCTCAGACCACAAGGAAGGGGCCTTCCGGCAAGGTATGGCCGGAACCCGGGGCCCTAGCTGTGTTTCCCCAGGGCCAAATTCTAGCCCTGTGGAGGGCCTGTTCTCCCTCCAATCATGAAGCCCCAGCCTTCTGGACTCTCAGTAGGTGTGGGCAAGCCTAGCCCTTTATCCAGAGCTCTGGTCTTAGGTATGGTCCCCAGACTTGCCTGAGGACTCCTGGCCCTTGTTTCTGGGGTGGGGTGGTGGAGGTGGTGGCAAGAGAGCTGCAGGAGTTATTTATAATCCCCAAACTTCACATATTAGAATCACCTGAGGGAACTTCTAAAAATCCTGATGTCCAGGCTGCACCCCATACCAATTAAATCAAAAGGGGAGCGGGAGGTAGACCTCAGTATTCCGACTCCCAAGTGATTCCAATGAGGAGCAAACCTTGGCAATTCCTTTCGCTAGTGCAGGGTTTATCAGTCTTGCCTGGTAAGGGTCACCGGGGCCAGGGTCAGCTTCACAGATGTTTGATCTGTGCTGCGGGCTCGGTTTAATGCTCTGCTGCTACTGTCCTGAAATTTTTAATTCTTGAATGAGGGGCTCCACATTTTCATCTTGGCACTGAGTTCCACAAATAGGCAGCCGGTTCTGCCTGGGGCATTTGCTAGTAGAGGAGCGGGACACACTCCCCGGAAGACTGAGCCAGTCAGGGCAGGGCCAGGCAGCCACCTGCGCTCTGGGTGCAGTGCTATTGGAGGGTACAAATTGCCCCAATAGCACCTGCCTGTGCTCTTCTTGCCTTGGGCAACTGCTGGAGCAGCTTCCCTCCCTGTGAAATAAACTATCTTGGCCCTAGGTCTTTCCTGAAAAGGGAACCTGTGTGTGGTGAGGTGGGTCAGGTAGCATGAGGAGCGAGCTTGTCCCAGTATGTCTAGTCATCAGGCACAGCTTGGTGTTTGGCACTTAGTTGACAGACTCTGGTGGTGTCACCATTCAGAGGTGAAGAACCTGAGGTGCAAGATGGTACCGTATCCAGGCTCTCATTCAGGTCAATAGAGCTGGATTTTACTACAGTCTGTATTCCCTCTGCCCAACCCCCAACAGGCTGCCCTCTCCATCCCTCCCTGGGTCAGGAGCACCTTGGGCACATGACCCTGGATGGGTTAATCCCATGTCTTTCCTTCAGGTGACTGACAATGCTCTAGTGTACAGCACCTTCCTGCTCCACAGTCCCCGCCCTGTGGGAAACCTGTCCATCCTGAGGACTAACCACGCTGAGGTCCCCATCGAGTGCCACTATCCCAGGTCAGTGAAGACCGGGCCTGTCACAGCCCTGACTCAAAGGCCCCTCACCCTCAGACCTGACTACTGCCTACCTGCAGCACCTGGCAGCCCAGCTGGGAGAGACTATGTAGTTTGAGGCTGAAGTTACTGCCCTCAGCCCTGGGTGAAAGTAGGACTTATTGGGTCTGGTTTGATCCTCCCAAATGCATCAGGGATTTGACTACCTCTTAGTAGAAGCCAGGGAATCCTGAGGGGTGCAGAGAAGGGACTGCTGCCTCAGACCCTGACCCCAAAGCCCCTAGAGTTAACAAGGAACACATCTGGGTCTAGAAACCTAGGCTTGCATTTCTACTCCAGATATGTTGAATCAGAATCTACATTTTAATAGGATCCACAGGTGATTCTTATGCATAATTTTGAGACTCACTGCTCTACCAGTGGTTCTCAGAATTAGTCCCAAATCAGCAGCAATAGCAAAGCCTGGGAACTTGTTAGAAATGCAAATTCTCTGCAGGGGTCCAAACCAGAACTAACTGGTTCGAAGCCTGCTAGAAACCGAGCTTCTAATTTCAGGTGTAGCAGTCTTCATGCTGCAACCCAGATGCCATCACAGGAGGGATGGATGGACCCAAGAGTTGAGTCCATTACAGATGACATAGAGGTTCTGGGAGGTCAAGGGGCAGGCTTAGACTGTCTGGCTTGGTCACAGCTGAGGACTCTTGAACAGTAGGTTAGAAGTGAGATTCGCCCCCCAACATGGGCCCGGCTGGGGTGAACCCTGGGGAAGGTGGGCAGCAGCTGTTGCTCCTCTCCCAGGCAGGGCAACGTAAGCAGCCGGGCAGTCCTGCCCACCTGGGTGCCCTTCAGGACCACAGTGCTCTTGGAGGAGAAGCTGGATTTCTCTCTGCGCCTAATGGAGGGTAAGCAAGGGGAGATGGGGAGGGGTCTGTCAGGGAAAGCTCTTTGCATCTTTAAGCCCTGACTGCTTTTCAGAGGACTGGAGTACTGAGAAGACAAGTCCCACCTTCCAGCTGGGAGACACAGCCCACCTTCAGGCAGAGGTCCACACGGGCAGCCATATGCCACTGCGACTGTTTGTGGACCACTGTGTGGCCACACCGACACCAGCCAGGACCACGTCCCCTCATCACACCATTGTGGACTTCCACGGGTGAGGGCTGGGCTACATCTAGGGAAAATTTATAACAAGGGGCTCCTGTTGACCCCATAGCCACCTTATATAGACTCTAACACCATTCTTGGCTTCTCCACAGTTGTCTTGTGGACGGTCTCTCCGACACCTCCTCTGTATTCAGAGCCCCCAGACCTGGGCCAGATACTCTCCAGTTCACAGTGGATGTGTTCCACTTTGCTAATGACTCCAGAAACACGGTAATAGCTTTTCTTTCTTTTCTAGTCTGCAATAAGACTAAACTCCAGGGTCAGCCTGACCAAGCTCAAAATCCTGCTGTGATTCACTAGCTCTCCCTGTAAGCAACCAACGTTGATGGCTCTGTTCCTGTTCTAACTTTCCAAGTAGATAAAGCCATGGGCTTAGTGAGGTAGGGTTTCCAAGGAGCAGCTGGTGTATTTGAACTGTGGACCTTTTGGTTAGCAGCCGAGCTCTTAACCGCTGTGCCACCAGGGCTCCCAGAGAAGGCATAGGCAACACAAACTCTTAGAGACAGGTTTGAAACACCCCATGAAGGATAAGGAGGGAGCCAGGGGCCGTAGGAATAGAACAAATGAGGAGAATTGGAGCCCAGGAGGTTTAGCTGACAGCTCAAATAAGATGAGGACTGACAACCATGGACCTTGTCCTTGCCTAGATCAGCAGGGCGGGAACCCAGATGAAGAAGGGTTGAGTGAAGGACTTGACAAAAAGTAGGTATCAATCAGCCTTCGTGGAGGTTTTCTTGAGGGGCAAGAATTTTTTTTAACATGATAGCTTTTTGAACTTGATCATAGTCTAGATCAGTGTTTCTGAAACTTGAATGTGCATAAGCATCAACTTGAGGGCTTGTTGAACACATTGAGTCAGAAACTCAGGTGACCAGCTTGTTATGAATGCAGTCTGTCTGCAGTGGGCTGAGAATTTGCATTTATAACAAGCTGATGCTGCTGGTCTGGGGGCTATGCCTTAAGAACCCACTAAGCTAGAAAGTCCATGACCACTGGGGTGGGGTTGGGGGAGGTGGAAGGAGAGGAAACTTAAAGACTGCCCCTGATGACTAAGGCGGGGGAGGGATGGGGGCAGGAAGCACAGGGGGGAAGGACTGACCTCTAGCCTGAAAATGCTGGCAGAATCCTAGTAGGAAAAACTCAAGTAGGTTTTACATAAATTCCATGAGATATGGGAGTAGGGTGGGGGCTGTGAGTTTAGCTGGTCAGCAGGAGATGTGATTAAAGAGGAATTTCTGACTATAAGAATCACCTGGAAAGGTCAAAAAAACACCTTGTATATAATTCCATTTTCACTTAATTGGGGTGGGGCCTAGTATCACTTTTCCCCCAATGTTTTATGAAAATCTGTAAACAGTAATGAGTTGAAGAATTTTACAGCAAACACCTTGTATCTACCACCTGGGTTCTACCATTAACGCTTTACTATTCATCCCTCCATTGGTCTATTTTAGTTGGAAATGTACCAAAAGTCGTTCAAGCTCCCAGGTGATCTAATAAGCAGCCAGGTTTGCAAACCACTGAACTAGAGGCTCATGTTGCTGGGCAGCATTAAGGGGTCAGCAGTGTGGATTATAGAAGACTACATTGGCATGACACAGCCTTGGCATGATGGCAGATAACAGATGTAATTTACAGAGTAGTAAATAACAGAAGGGGCAAGGATCAAGGATAACTGGTGAGATGTCCTGGAGCTTCTGATAACAGCAAGTCCTGGGTTGGATGGAGGTAGGGATAAAAGAACAGACTTCAAGGGTCCTGGTCCCTAAGTCAGTCCTCGGTGTGCTACAAGGACTTGGTATGGAGTAAAGAACCTGGTGGGGTGTAGGGAGTCAAGGCTGACTTCAGAGGTGGTCCAGTGGGTAAAGGATGGGGGAAAAGTCTAATAGAGGTAGTGGCCATCAGCATGGGTTAAAACTAAGCTAGTATCTGCACCTCCAGGAATTGAGGGAGGGGGTAACTATGACTAGAGATTGTGGGGAGGTAGCCTGAGCTCTGGGAAAGTTCTCCCTCAACAGCAGGGAGGGATGGTTTGGCAGAGCCATAGCATAGGAGAGAAGGAGGAACCTTATTCAATAGCTAGAGGGGGGCCACCAGGGTATCATAGGCTCCAGGTAGCACCAGAAGAATGTACTGGGAGGAAGCTAAAGATAAAAGCAGTTCCCCTCCTGGAATAGGGATGCTAAAAGACCAGGATTGGCCTTCTCTAACAGGGTAGCTAGAAGCACAGAGCAAGATAGATTTACAGAAGACTGATGGCAGAAGTGCACCCTGGCTTGTTAAAAGACCCAAAGAACTTAAGTGGTATCAAGTTTTTAAAATAGTTTTCCTGCTGATGTACTCAGCCACTAGGTGGTGGGCAAGGCTTGTGGCTCTGCAGAAGGCTGCAGCTAGGAGGCTCCATTTCCTTGCAAAGTTGGGCAGGCAGGTGTTAAAGGCCTACCTAGAGTATGAAGGGGAACTCTGACCTGGAGATGCCTCTGACAAGTGGACCAGGGCCTATTCTCAGGTGGTAGGATTGGATACCAGCCCCACTGGGATAAGGAGATCATGATCACAGGGTAGTTGAGAGCTCAAGTGGGTTTGGAACTCTTGGCTCCCAGTAAGTTATTCATGTGCCTTCTTGAGCATTTGCTAGAAAAGGGTGGTCAAGCAGCATTTCCCAGAAATTGTGGCTGTGCCAGGTCTAGGCTAGGGTACTAGCCTGGAGTCATCGTCTGGTTTACATGTCATGGACAGATTCCTATAGGAGATTCCTGTAGGGCAGCTAGCGGGCATTGGTGGTTCAGTGGTAGAATTCTTACCTTCTCTGCAGGAAACCCGGGTTCAATTCCTGGTTAATATACCTCATGTATAGCTACCACTCCTGTCAGTGGAGACTTGTGTGTGGTTATGATGCTGAACAGGTTTCAGCAGAGCTGCTAGAATAAGACTAGGAAGAAAGACCTGGTGACCTACTTCTGGAAATCAGCCAGCATAAACCCTATGGATCCCAATGGTCTGATCTACAACTGATCATGGATGGTGCAGGATCGGGCAGTGTTCCTGTTGTGTGTGGGGTCACTGTGAGTGAGGGGCTGACTTGATGGCAGGTTAACAACATCCAGGAAGGCATATACTTGAGGAAGAATAGCAGCTCAGGGAAGCTTGCCTAAGGAAATAGCCAGAGAGCTGACTTCAGGTATGAAATGAGAACTCCAAAGAAGCTAGTTGAAGAGATCTCTATGGTACCTAGGGACCTGGGGTCACAGAGGTAACTTGCCTCATTCCATTCTTTAGTGGAAAAATGGGGCAATACTCAGTGATCACACCTCCTGAGAAGAAGAAAAATAGCACATCAACTAGTAGGGTGGCAGTCTTAAGAGCCCTGCTAAGTATTTAACAGTGTTCTATTTCCCCAGCACCATCCCTGAGGTTCTCACTTAACGGGCCCAGGGTCAGGCATGCTAAGTAGAGAAGTTCAGGGAAGATTGGGGCAGTAAAGATCATGGGTTCCAACCTAGGATCAGATTTGCTACTTGCTCTGCAATCTTAGGCAAGTTAACCTTTGAACTCTTGTGCTGCATCTCTAAAACACGGCTCTTCATCCTGATAGGGTTAAGGGTTATATAAGAACTGGCTTGCTGATGTCATTGGCACAGCCTAATGATAGCTATTACTTCCAGATCTATATCACCTGCCGCCTAAAGGTCACTCCAGCCAACCAAGTCCCAGACCAACTAAACAAAGCCTGTTCCTTCAACAAGTCTTCCAATAGGTAAGATCAGATCCTATGACCGGAGTAGAACCCAGCTAGTCACCTCTTGTATCTACTCTTCCAGTATATATGTTCTAGCAGACGTTTCCTACAGGCAACAAAACCCTGCTAAGCCTCTTGTTTCCTTCTTAGCTGGTCCCCAGTAGAAGGCACTGATGACATCTGTGGATGCTGTAACAGGGGTGACTGTGCCATGCCAGGCCTTCCCAGGAGGCTGCTCGCCACAGAGCAGCTGTCGATGAGCCAGTGGCAGAAGTCTTCTTCCCGAAAACGCAGACATGGTATGTCTTAGGACAGCCCCAGGGCTATCGCCAGCCCCTCCATCTAGGGCATCTGCTGTCAATTCATGGGCAAGCAAGTGCTGCTGCCTCTTGTCCCCATTCAGGTTGCTCTCTCCTAGGGGGCTGGGGCTTCAGGCCTTCTAATAGGAAGCTTAGGGCTAAGTAGGAGGGGCTCCAAGCTCCCACGTCAGCTTCAGCCAGGACAATGCTGCCATTATCCTGGGGTTCTAATGCAACATTAACTGGGGGTGTAGGGAAGACAGTACAACTGCTAGGACAAAACCTCCTAGCTCAGCTATTGAGGGAAAGCATGAACAACTTCTAAGCTGATCCCTGAAGCAGGGGGAGGGGACCAAGGTAACCTTTGGGTGTCGTCTTCCTTTTCACAGTGGCAGAAGAAGCAGATGTTACTGTGGGGCCACTGATCTTCCTGGGAAAGACTAGTGACCATGGTATGGCGGGGTGGACCTCTGCTGCTCACAGCTCCATGGCACTGGGTTTAGGCCTGGTCGTGGTGGTGACCCTGACTCTGGCTGCTATTGTCCTGGGTCTTGCCACCAGGTGGCATGCTGTTTCCTACCCTGTGATGTGCCCTGTGTCTGTTTCCCAATAAAAGAACAACCTTGAGAGTAGGTAGTGTGGTGACTGCTGATGGGGGTAGGGGTTGAGATTGTCTGCCATGGGGTGAAATATACAATCCAACAAGTACTACTATACCTTCAGTGTCAGTCTACCCATCTGTACAATGGGAGGCAAACCTGTACTTTTCCTGGTTCTAGGCAACATAGCCTTCCTGGGGGCAGGTCTTCTTTTCCCAGGGGCAACTGTAATCTGGGACCTGATATCTCTAGGGAGAGTAAAGATAGATGTAGGGTATCTTAGTCATCTAGTGCTGCTATAACAAATATCACAAGTGGGTGGCTTTAACAAACTTATTCTCAGTCTAGGAGGTTAGAAGCCTGAATTCAGGGCGCCAGCTCCAGGGGAAGGCTTTCTCTCTGATGACAAAAACCTTCTCCCGGAGCCAGAGATCTTCACCTAGTCAAAGGAGCTTCTCAGCACAGGGACCCTGGGTCCAAAAACAAGTGTTCCCCTCCTGGTTCTTCATTTTTGGTAGCATGAGGTCCCTCTTCTCTGCTTTTATATCTCGAGAGTTTGACTAAAGGATACAACCTAATCCTGTAGATTGCATCCTGCCTCATTAACACTACTGCCTGTAATCCTGCCTCATCAACATCATAGAGGTTAGGATTTACAACACATCAGGTCACAAAATGGTGGCCAATCACACAATAGAATCATAGCCTGACCAAGTTGACACACATTTTTGGGGGGACACAATCCATAACATAGGGCAAAAGTGGAGTGGCCTGGCCAACCTGACTTCTAGGCTGGCAAAGGCTCTTCTGTCTCCTGGACACCACCGATGTGACTGAGTTGCAGGGCAGGGAGGAGAGACGACTTCTAGCCCCCTTTCCCTAGGAGGGGCAGACAGAAAGCTAGTGTGTTCAAATGATTGGGTTGCAATGATAAGATTGGTCCTTAGTTCTGCTTCCTCTCTGGTCTTGGGCAATAGGCACCTTGGACCTAGAGCTGTGTGGAGAACATCGGGGGGTGTGAACTTGCTGTTGGCCAAGTCACCAGCTCTGAGATGGGAGCCTTTCCTTTGTAGGGTAGGTAGGAGGCCTCCGGAGGGCTGGGACCTGCTCTAGCATTGCTGTCACTGAGAGGAGCTGCTGTTTGGTCTGTCCCCCTCCTCCACATCACTCTCCAGCGAGGCAGCCTGCTTTCCCCAGGTCCTGGCCCCTGGGAGTGTCTAGCAAGGAAGTGGTGAGCCAGGGGTGCCCACGGAGCTTGTGGCCCATCTCTAAGCCGCCTTCCAGCTGCTCATAGCATGCGTTGGGGAAAAAGTTACTAAAATTGAGATCTACTCCCAGTCCAGAAAACTTTTCCACAAAAGTAAGAAAGTTTTATTATGGAATAAACATTAAACCAGAATGTGACGCACCACAGGCAAGAGACTGCAAAGACAAAAAGAAATCTTAATCCTTAATTACATAGCTGAGTGGACACAGCTCATTACATTCAGGTCGAAAATAAAATTGCTAATTTTCCAGTATCTTTATAGCAGGATACCTGAAGTTATGCTAATCTCCTTCCAGGAAACAGGAAGAGGGGGGGAGGCTCACTTGAAGTTACATTTCAAAGAGGTGGTAGCTGCCAGATCTTTGAGAAGACCTCTTAGATTTCCATACTTTTCAAAGAGACAAAGAATTTACCATTACCAAGTTATCTAAAAAGAATTCTGAAGGAACAGAGGGGGAGCGAAGCCTCTTCCCTTATTCTTAACAAGGAGAATCAAAACCTCATTTTCAATTTGTACTTTCTTTACACAAGAGAGAGGAGGTCGCCTTCTCTAGGCTGTGCAGTGTGAAGCCCTTCACAGTGGACTGGCCGTTGGAAGAGGCTACATAGGTCCAGCTTACTGTTACTCCCCATTGCTAACCCCCGCATTGTCTCATGATCTTGTTTTTCCCTCCTGTTCCAGTCGCTATAAAAAGTTTAAGATTAACTGATGTTCCTCCTTGGAGGGTGGAAAATAAGTGATAATCATCTAGGAATGAAAAACCGAACAAAGTACTGATTTAGGAAATAATATTGGAGTTATTATTCCCAGTCCTTGAACATAATGTGACCCACCTGGAGCAGGGCCTACAAGGACTCACAAGGACACATCAACTGGGCCCTGAGGTATAAAGACAATAGCTAAGATAATCTTGGAAAATATCTTTTAGGGAAACTTTCACATAAAGCCAATCAAAAAACACAAAAGACTTTCTACTCTTTTTCCGTTAGCATTTAGTGCATAGAAATTTGTTGGACCAATGAAGACCCTCTTGACTCTCATTACTGAAACCTGTACCAAAGATTGTTAAGAAAGACAGTTCAAAATGTAGGATCACAGTTTCTAGCCAATCTGGAAAGGCTAAGCTTTCAATGGTTTTGCCTATTTGTAATGTTAATATATACTGTTGGTTCTGTAACTGTTCTGTAATATTCTTTGCACTCGGGCAGACATGGCTATGGCAGCATGCTAGTCCGTTTTCCCATGCTTGCCTATTCTGTAATGGTCTTTGGACTCGGGCAGACATGGCTGTGGCAGCATGATTGTCCGTTTTCCCATTCTTGCCTATTCTGTAATATTCTTTGGACTCGGGCAGACACGGTTCTAGCAGTATGGCTGTCCACTTCCCACGTTTGCCTTTTTAAATATATGCCAAATAAAACTTTCTTTTTGCTTTACTCAACTTTGTGATGCTTTTCCCCTACAACAGCACCCATCCTGGGACAAGAAAACCAGGATGTCGCCAGATAAACCCCAGGAAAAGAGTAAGTTCTCTGGGACTTGACCACCTCAAGGGGGAACTAACACAAACCTCTAAGACCCGTAATCCTGTCCCTATAAAGCCTTCGGCCCATCTCCAGTGGGGGAGATGCGTTTTTGGAGGAATCTGTTCCCCTCTGTCTCCTATAAATCGATATATAATAAAACTCTTGCTGTTCACCTCACCCGTCTCAGAATTGGGTATTGTGGCACACGGCTCCAATCCGCGTTACTGCAATAACACCCTTAGCCAACTCCAACCTTGCCCCAGACCACGTTGTTCCCAATAACACTGGGTGATATTTGCCTTCACTCTGTAGAACCCAGGTTTGCTAGTGCCAAAGACAGAAATTGATAGCATATCTCTTGCTTTGATTTTGGGGTTTTCTTACCCACTAAAACAAATACTGACTTCAAAGAAATCCTTGACCAAAATTAATCCTCCAATAACCTTTATTTCACCCTAAATTGCAAATCCTTTCTTTTCTCCTTGAAGCCCTGCTTACTAAATTTGAATTTCAAAAGATATGGTTGGGTGAAGGCGCAGAGACTATATTGTGAAATGATAGCCATTGATCTTGTTACCACAATAACGTGGATTGGAGCCGCCTGCCACAATAGCAAATTCTGAGACAGGGGTGAGGACAGCAGCAAGATGTTTATCATATATCGATATATAGGAGACGGAGGGGAATAGATTCCTCAAAAAAAACCCCTCTTGCCCACTGGAGATCGGCTGGAGTCTTTTATGGGGACAGGATTATCGATCTTTTGTGGTAGTTTCCCCTTGAGGTGATGATGTCTTAGATGAGTTAGCCTTCTACTGGTATTCCTAGAGGTTATCTGGTGACATCCTTGGGGATTATCTGGTGACATCCTGCTTTTCCTTGTCACAAGATGGGTGCTCTGTTTGGTTTTTCATTCTTAGATCATTATCACTTGTTTTCCACCATCCAGGGAGGAACATCGGTTAATCTTAAACCTTTTTGTAGAGACTGGAGAAACAAGATCATGAGACAATGTGGCGGTTAGCAATGGGGAGGAAATAATAGTGAGCCAGGCCTGTGCAGCCTCTTCCAATCTCAGTAAAACAGGGAGGGCGGGGTTCAACCAATCATGTTAAGATTAGCCAATAGTTTGATCTATATTTCTCTCCTCTTTATGAAGTCCTGGTGACACAGTGGTTGAGAGCTCAACTCATAACCAGAAGGTCAGCAGTTCAAATCTGAATCCACCAGCTGCTCTTTGGAAACCCTATGAGGCAGTTCTACTCTGTTCTACAGGGTCACTATGAGTGGACTCGATGGCAATGAGTTTTTGGTTTGGTCTTTTCTTTATAAGCCTCATTGTACCTAGCTTCTTTGAGCCATTTGCTTTTTCTGCAATCAAAATGGTCACTCTATAGGCATATAGAATAACTGCTCAGAATAAACCTTATGTTTGAATTTGGGTGAGTTTTAATTATTTTTAACACCAGTTCTGGTGGCTGAAATGAGGCTAGTCCCTGATGGGCAGGGTTGTTAGGCATAAACTGACCAGAACCAGAAGGTGCTTACATGTGTCTGGAAGGGCTCTTGGTCTCTGTGGCCTGGGGTCTGGCTGAAAGCAGGGGTTCAGGTGCATTGACTTGGGCAAAGGCAGATGTCTAAAGTGCATTGGAGTGAGGTTTTCTGTTGTTCAAGGGCTACTGAGAACTAAAGGCCCTTGAACTCAGTCTTTGCCACTCCAAGAGTGGTCCTCCAACATTGTTGTCACCACTTGAGAATTTGTTGGAAATGCAGTTTCAGGCCTCACTCGAAACCTACGAATCCACATATTAAAATCCTCAGGTGATTCCGGAGCACGTTAAAATGCACTGGGCTAGAGGATTTGCCTCCAACGATGGGCTCAAGAGTAACAATGATTGTGAGGATGGCGCAGGACCAGACATTGTTTCCTTCTGTTGTACATAGGGTCACTATGTGTCAGAACTGACATGACAGCACCTAACAACAACAGAGTCTTTGAATCAGAATTGTGCCCACCACCTAAGCAGGTTATAGGAGCCCTGATGGCACAGTGGTTAAGAGCTATGGCTGCTAATCAAAAGGTTGGCAGTTTGAATCTATCAGTCGCTCCCTGGAAACTATGGGGCAGTTCTACTCTGTCCTATAAGGTCACTATGAGTCAGAATCGACTCAACAGAAACAGGGTTTTTTTTGTTTGTTTGTTTAAGCAGGTTATGGAAT